ATGCCCCATCGGTCCCTGAGCTCATTATTGTATCTTTCGTATTGATTCTCCATATCTAATTGTTCGTGTTACTTCATTCTTTTATAACCAGTACAGAGTTGTAGATACTGAAATTTCTTCATTCAATTTGGCTTTGAATCATTGTTATAGACATTCATATAGGTGTGAGAATTGAATTTTCTGCTTGAGAAAGTAAGGGATGAGAAAACGGAGATGTATAAGCTTAATGAGCTTGAAGCGCCATATACTTCTTCCGCAAATAAGATGACAAACAACTGCCATGCACAGAGTACCCAACAGATCGATTCTCATTTGTCACCACATTGGCATGTGTACGGGTGATTCATCTCTCAATTGCAACCATGAATTCGAATGCTTTAGAATGCAATCGAATGAACCATCTTTGTTGAAACCAAAAACTGACTTCATAGGAAAACTACTGGAGCAAATTTACAGGAGAACACCGGCAAAAGTATCATCAGAAATGACTATTAGATTTGAGTGGTAGACGCTTGATCTAATATCACCATTTCCTTCACGTATACCGCGACATGGAAATTGACACGCGCAAATCGCATCACAAGAAACTCCGGATGTGGGTTGCGAGTGGGGGCCAATCCAACACGTAGCTTCCGTCGGTTCTCTCGGTTTGACGTTCTTGGAGCGGCGGTCACTTGTGGGGTAGCGGACGCCGACCAACAGCAGGCCGGGCTGCAGTGTTTGGTCGCTGGGCAGAGGCACAGGAACTTATTATTTCTACTATTAGTCATTTTGTTTTAAGATTCAAGAAAGAGCTCGAGTCAATATTGTGTTGTTGCACCCGATGACATTTTATGGAGATTAGCGGAGAGCTCATCTGCACCAAGATTTCGCTCTGAGGAAGACGTAGTTTGCGTAGCTGTTTAAGTGCTTCTCGGTCGTCCGTAAGTTCCACCATGCATCCCTTCTGCATGCAACAGTATCTTCATGCAAAGGGAGTTACGCACATTCGCGTCTGCAGGCGGTAGTATCATCTTTATCAGCTTTCAGCTGCATATGTTTCGTTATGACTGATATTATAGTATTTGATGATTTATTACTCTTCATGGCGGCTAAATTTGTACTGAGGGCCAACAGTTCCATCGAAAGATGGATTCAAGAGCTCTCCTGCACTGCAGATCTATTTGATCAACAGAAGTCACTGATGCAAATGAGTTTCTTTTTCTGTTTTATTTTGCCGGGGGCTCTGTCTCTTGTTCTATCTAATGAAGATCTTGACTGGGGTATCATTAACCTCAAAAACACAAGTTACTGGGAAAGAAAATAATATACTTATAAGTTCTAATATTTGACCAGTGAAAGCATGATCCAACTCAAATTGAGAGGACATTGCACAATCATCAATTAAATACTGAGAAAAATAAAATAAAATAGAGTCAGGACTGGAACACACAATCTAGTTCGATATTATAAAAGCAATTGACAATCAGATATTACAAAATAGAAAAAACACATGATGTTGACAATAATAGTTAAAAAGGTATACATTCGATAGGGATTATGATTGTTGTCTCCTTGTGTAATGCTGTAGTTCCTAGAATGCCTTAGGGTTTAGGTTCTCTTTCTTGACATTAAAGAAAGAAAACGTGTCATTCTTGTGGCGACATGTTAACCAATACGAGCCTGGTCGTAGTAATTGACGCTAGTTTTATTTAGATTATAAAAAGAAGAAGAGTTGCGAACCCTCTCGTGAAAGACAACCTAAGAAATTACATACAGAAGTCATTATGCACACCGACACGATGATTTGCATGATGAAGGATGATTCCTGAATCCTTTCGTAGCTTGCTTATAATGCCTTAAAGGGCTTTAAGAAAGGAGTCAAAAAAATTTAAATTTTTTAAAAGTTTTAAGATACGGATGTTATTATCGTTGTAATTTTTGACATTACAACTCCAGTTGTACTATCATTGTAAAGTTTGAATTCTAAGTAGTAATACCGTCGCTCTAGATTGTACAACTATTGTCATATATGGTACTATCATCTGAAAGGTTAATAAGCATAAAAAATACTTATTGGTCGACTTAGACGGTACTATCACCTGGCCTAATAGTATCACTGTCCGAGCCTATTTTAGGACACCAGTTTAACCTTCTAATACACCAAATTCGATCCAATTTAAGCTCAATGATTTTTTTGACAAGTTGATATTGGTTTTGACTTAATACTATCTTAAATTGATCCAAAATAACCTCGAGAAAGACTTTAACAAATCAACCATATATTCAGCATATTTATGAAACTTTCAACACGTTGTACACTTTTTTCGATATGTCGTCTGATCTTCCGATGCTTCGTCTGAATCTCAGGCACATTGTCCTTTCCTTTGACATATTGCCTATTCCATCGGTATCGAGTTTCACATGACAACCAATCTTTCGGTACAATATCCAATCCTTCCGGCATGATGTGTAAACCTATAGCACGAAGCTTGATCTTTGGCACGTCGACCAATCCTTCCGCTCGACGTCCAATTTTTGACACGATAATTTCTCGATGCAATATCCGACTCTCCTACTCGATAGTTGGCCCTTAGATGGTCCAAGTCTATGATCAAAGTATTTCCTATGTCACTTATCTTAAAAGTATATTAATCTAATAAATAAATCAATTGATTTCAACATCAAAATATGGGATTCAACCAGCTTTGCCACCTACGATGAACTCGTTCAATTCCAACTCGATCATGTTTGCCTTTGGCTTGGATTATAATTGGGAGGCCTATAACATTTGGTTTGAGTTTGAGCTGATGGCCGCTCAAGGTGACTGACCTTATGAGTCACATCGTTTCCTTTGCACTTGCACTAATGTATTGGAGGTGGGACTTAGTTTTCCCATCGTTATTTTTTATTTGAGGCATTCTGGTATAGAAAGATATCATTTGCCTAGATGGCATCGAACTCACGACACTATCTTTTGATGTCGGGGAATATAGAAGGCTTCGTAGCACCCTGACGCTGACTCTATTACTCGCATGCTATTGCATGTGCTTTAGAGGTTTAGCCAACTTCCTCTCCTCTCGCCATGGCTGCAAAGTTAAGGGGACTTCGACCTCAAATAAGGGTTGGAAGAAGAACGAGTGGTCAATCAACTTGTTTTGGTCTAGTAAGAAGTTTTCCAACATCACTCTGTGATTGCATGCGTCGGAGAAAAAGCAATTCTACCAAATCGCTCTAGCCCCAGTCCACCGCCATCCTCCAGACTAGCAAATAGTGTGCTCATTGTGGCAGTCCTCAGTTCTGGGCCTTGGGGTATGGTCTCAGAATCATTCATCCTTTATCCTTTAGCAACCGAGGCTAACCCTTCTTTTCGTTTACAGACGTGGACCTCCAAGGCAACAACCTTCAAGCAATTGCCAGATGTGGCATGAAAAACAAATTCATGGCATCACACCCATCTTCCCATGATCGTTGGGAAGTCGAAGTCGGGCGAGAGCACTACAGCCCCATCTCAGAGGCCCAAACCTCTTCCATTCCCTGGGTTGGACAAAAGCAACTCGCCGCCTCCGAGTCAACATCAGCAAGGAGATGAGTTGTTGCCAACACCAACGGATGGGGCTCCTCCCGTCTCCGCAAGGAGGGAGTCCCCATGAAGGACCGACTCTTCCCACACAAGGGGGAGTCGTCATGAAGAACACTACTCGCAATAGCAACAACAACAATAACAGGAGCAACAATAGTCACAATCGCAATTCTCGTCGGAGGGATGGGCAAGCCCCTGACACCCCATGTCATCCAACCACCCAAGTAACAACCGCCACCCCCATCGAAGGGAGTGTTATTTTGTGGAGACTTGTGAGTGGGTACGTGAATCAATCGATCTTTTTCTCGAACATGTTAATTGGCATTTTATTCAGATTAAAAAATAAACCATAAATCCTACTTGTGGAATGATAGTACGGAGGATGGCCATACATTTTCTTGCATCAAATAAAATACATACATATATTTAAGGATGCTATTTTGTACATACTTGTGAGTGAATCTTTTTTTAGGGACATGATAATGAACATTTTATTGTGATTAGAAAAATACCTTAAGTCCTAGTATTTGTAGTTAATAAATTATCATAATTTATATATCGACCCTCTATTATGCATTGGTTTGCATTCAAATGTGTTCTGCGATATC